TTTGCACAACCTTAAACAGAGAGGTTACATTTTCCTCACAATGTTATTTCCTATATAGCTTTGAAAACCCATAACTTTCATCAAACTTTCTTGCTTCCATTAAATTTAAATTGTACTCTATTCATTTAAGGTACAACAGTTCAGATAGAACCTGCTGATGATTTTCACATTTTTAAAGACTTTGCAAGACTTTTAAAGACAAATAAAAAAAGATTCCCAGCACCTGACTTGTCTGTGAGATAGGAGGTTTATTTTTTACAGATGCTCTCAGTTAAACTCAACTAGTGTACATTCTCCAAAAGCTGCACAGTGCTGAGTGCTAGGGGATCCTTAAGGCCCTCAATGGATAGCCTCACACAAAGCTTCTCTGACTGTCCATTGCTCCTTATAGGAGATTGGAACATGTCAAAACTGGAACTTCAAAGGTGGAGAAAGATCCATCGACAGCATTGCTGCACTTCCATTCCGAGGTTCACCAGTTACATGGCATCGGTGCGATGTGCCGAATGGACCAGCGATCAATCACGTGGTGGTGAGTGGATCAGCACATCCTATCCTCTCCAGTTGTGTTGTTCGGCGTCTCAGGGTGATTGTCAGGTTGGAGCCGCAGGTGTGCCTTCTGCTAAAGTGATCGTACCAGGTACTCCAGCACGTGAGGGCTGTTGCCGAACACGAAGCCTGGGACCGATTCTGTGTGAGGGCTGATAGCACGGACTTGATGATTGACGATGTAGCCAAGGACTTTCTTGCTTCTGCAGCTGAGGTTGTAAAGAAACTGAAGCTACAGACTGCAAGGCACCCATCTCAGAAGCGGGACACGGTCAGGGTAACGACAAAGGGAAGGAGAGCCAGTAGGAGAAATCAGAAGGCTTTTAAAGGTTCTGAAAGCTGCCTCAGAGCAAACAAGAACTGTAGCAAAGGCAACTTACAAGCACGGCATGATACTAGGAAAATATCAGAGAAATGAAGCGGATCAATGGGCTGCATCACTCCGAAAGGCGGAGAGCCCGTACCAGTACTGGACAAGTCCGGTGTCTACAACAGATCCATGAGGGGATCCTTAGGGTCTGGAGGGAACATTACGCGGAGTTGGCATCTGACCCAACCAAACAGTCATTAGCAGAGACCCATCTGTGTGGAGGCTGAAAGAGCTGAGTCAGATTGAAGGTCTTAATGACCCAATCGTTGGGAGGAGGTGGACTCCGCAGTGTGGTGCCTGCCATGGCATCAATGCTGAATTCTCAAAAGCTGCTCTGAGGAAGGAGGTGGAGAGAATCTTACAGGTCCAAGCCAGGAAACCTCACCTCAGCTTGGAGCCGCCCTCCTCGCGCTGGTCAACAGGATTTTCTCTGAGGCCCGCACCCCGCCTATTGTGTCTATCTACAAGAATTGTGACACTAGTGAGACAATAACTATAGAGGGATCTCACTGATATCAGTGGCTCTTAAAGTGGTGCTTCGGGTAGTCACAGCATGTGTATCACACACATTGGAGGCTCGGGGTGTTATCAGGAAGGGGAAGGCTGGCTTCCGTTCTGGTGAAGAATGTGTGGGACAGGTTGTGGCTCTGTATGAGATCACAGAATATCGTAAGGCTGAGGGGAAACCCACCTACAAGACGTTCGACCCAGTGCCTCATGAGGCTGTCAGGATGAAACTGGAAGCCATGAGAGTATATGGCCGATTCCTGGATTTTATCCGGAATGTGTACTCCAGCTTCAAGATCCATGTAAGGGTCAACATTGAGTCCATCCTTCTGGAAAGGAGGGTTAGGCAAGGCTGGCCATTGTCACCCACTCTGTTCAATGTGTTCATCAATAACGTGTTGGATGGCATTGAGGGGGAAGTAATAATAATCCTTGCATTTGATATAGCACTTTTCACGTCTCAAAGCACTTCACAGAATATGCTGTAAAGTTAATTGACTGTATATTTGTGGGCGAAACGCAGCAGCCAATTGCGCACAGCAATGTCCCACAAACAGTCGTGGATTGAAAATGACCAATTTTTGTTTTTTGGAGGGATTTTTTAGAGTTCCAGTCCTCTATGACAGGATTGCGGTGCTTCGGTTTATGGATGATATTGTGCTGCTGGAGGACTCACCTGGGTACCCACCGTCAGCACGATGGGCGGATCTTTATAGGACAGCCGATCAGAATTGATACAATGAAAGTGGGGCGGTGGAGGGGGTGCAAAGAGAAGAATAGTGTATTCCCTCCTGTCCCCACAAACCCAGTGCCTTTGATTCTCTGCTTAGGTCTACTGCTGAGGTGAAGGGCTATACATACATAGAAGGCTTGAGCAATGTCAAGCAAGCATCAGCAATGTCCACCATTCCCCCTCAGCTGGCAAAGGAACGTTTGTGAAGATATGATTCTAATAATACTTGCAATTGATATATCACGTCATTGAGATGTCTGAAAGCGTTTCACAGAATATACTGTAAAGTGAATTTTGTATATTTTGTGGCTGAACGCGGCAGCCAATTGAGCACAGCAGTGTCCCACAAACTGTCGTAAAATTCAGTGTTATTTGTATATATTATAATATTAGATTATTATTTATTATTACCCCAAGAAAGCAATCCGCCACTCAACTAACTGGGTTCCTACTTACCTCTAGATAAACCGAGGTGTAAGGAAACATGCCTAGTCAAACCCGGGTCCTCTCGCTTACGAGGCGAGCGCTCTAACGAATATGCTACAGGACTCCACAAGTCTGCTGGAAATATCTGTTTACACAGGTGAGCATCCAGCCCTGGGCTTTGGCCATTGTGGGCTTTGGCCATTGTAAACAGTTGCTGTTTGTTTGTCATCGCGTAGCTCAGGGGAAAGTGGGTAACAACATCATCTGGATCCCATCTGCCGGCTCACCGCCCCGCTGGATGTGCCCATGTGTAAGCGGGAGGTACAGACAAATCTGACTGCAAGATAATAATGGGGACTTTATTGTAAGAGCTTTACCATGTGGTTCCTGAAACTAATCCGTTTACAATGTGACAGCTCGGCTTGTGGTTTGAAGTCTGCTTGTTTTGAACTAACCCAGGTTCCTTTAATACCACAAAGGCTGGAGGCTGGAGTCGCTGCACTGGGTGGTAAGTCTTTATAGGTTTACGATCTTTCGTTCTCCCCACTGTTGTACAGCTGCTAAACTCAGCAGCAGAGTAAACAGGGCCTTACAATAAACAACTTTCCTCCCCTTCTCCCCCAATCAGATGCAAAACCATTAAACTTAAAGCACTTATTTATTATCAATCCACGACTGTCTATGGGACACTACTGTGCACAATTGGCTCCTGTGTTTTGCCTACAAAATACGCAGTCAATTCACTTTACAGGATATTCTGTGAAGCACTTTGAGGCATCTCAACGATATGATAAGGCGCTATATCAAATGCAAGGATTATTATTATTATCACAGAAAGAAACTTGATTTTTTATTGTGCTTTATCACAACAAACATCTCAAAAAGATTCACAGGAAATAACTGTCTTCTGTTTCACTTGGTAATATGGGACTAACATACATGAGGGAGAAGGGAATGGAAGGGTATAGGAGAGGAGAGTAGGAGAAATGAGGCTTGTATGGAGTATAAATACCACATGGACTGTGCACAGTCTGTGCGTACATTCTGTGCAACTTGATGAACTCACAACCTCCATAGCTAGAGATGAGTATTGTAATACCAACTGAGCCAAGCTGCCAGCTATACAGTACTTCACAGAGTTACTCAAAGAGAACAAAAATAATCCTTGCATTTGATATAGCGCTTTTTACGTCTTCTAGACATCTCAAAGCGCTTCACAGAATATACTGTAAAGTGAATTGACTATATTTTTGGGCGAAACACAGGCAGCCAATTGCTCACAGCAGTGTCCCACAAAAGTCGTAGATTGAAGTGACCAATTTTATTATTGTTGTTTTGGAGGGATTATTATCAGGCGTGTGGAGTAAGGAAACTTGACCAAGGTTTTGCCCTGTCAAGAATTGAACCCAGGTCTCTCACTTGCGAGGTGAGTACTCTAACCAATGAGCTACAGGTCTCTGCTTAGCTCCGCTTGATTTGGTTAATTGTACTAGAAAGAACAGAGCTTGATTTTGGTTCACAGTCTGATTTCCATTAGATAAGACATGTCATCAAAACTGATCAAAGGCTGGATTTAGCTTCACTGAATTAATCAAATTCATGCAGATTTGAATTTTATGATGACCTAGATTTGTGAGAATCATGCTTGCATTTGATATAGCGCCTTATTCTCAAAGCAGTTCACAATATTTTACTGTAGCTCAGTGGTTAGAACACTCGCCTTACAAGCGAGACACTTGAGTTCAATTCCAGGCAGAGGGCGAAACCTTGGGCAAGTTTCCTTACTCCACACGACTAATAATAATCCCTCCAAAACAAAACAATAATAAATTGGTCATTTTTAATCCACGAAAGTTTGTGGGACCTTGTGTGCGCTATTGGCTGCCGCGTTTTGCTCGCAAATACATGGTCAATTCACTTTACAAGATATTCTGTGAAGCGCTTTGAGATGTCGAGAAGACGTGAAAAGCTCTGTATCAAATGCAAAGATTATTATTATTATTACTGTAATAATAATAATCCTTACATACGTTACAAGGTCTTTCACATCATGATGACAGTTCAAAGCTCATAACAGGATATACTGTAAAGTGGAGTCACTGTGTATTTTGTGGGCAAGAGCAGCAGCCAATTTGCACACACAGGCTGACACACAACTGTTGAATGTAATGACTGTGCATATTTTAAGCATTTTGCATGAGGTTCAGGTGATAGGTTGTCTGTCCTTGCTTATGAAAGGCACATTCTCTACCAGACCACAATGAAGTCTCCATCGTTCATTCAAAAATATGACCACCCGGGTATGGAGTGGTTAAAAACTGCAACTATTAAACTCAGATCCCCTTGAAATACATGTCTCGTCACTCCTGCCCTTGTTTCAAAGCAGACCAGAGCCCACAAAGACCTTTCACTCACATTTCCACAATGCCTTCTGGAAGGTTCACCGGGATTTCTGTCAGCCCTTTCCCACGACAATCCACAATGTTGTTGCTGCAAACGCACGCCCCTGGGCACGACACAGCTCGGGCGCTGCAGGACTGAGTCTCTGAGGAATGGAGACCTGGGAGGAAACAGTACAACTCATTCAGAATCGTGACACAGAACACTAAACAAGATGGACTTGCTAAAGAGACATTCTTCTCATGCATATTTAACCTCATATTAGTCATGAGTGATTAACCACATTTTAACCTAAATGACCCAAATTGAGCTACTTTCTATTCATTCATAGATACCTGTATTCCGTCCTATGCATGAGCACTTCCTACCAACGGCTTGCTCTCTGTAGCTGCTGGCAATTGTGACAGACTGCCTCACTGAGTGACAGTTCTTCATGCATGAGCCTTCATATTGGGTCTTGAATCAAGTTCAACTCCCCTCAATTTGGAAGTCTTCTTAAACACATGTTTGAAAATGGTTCTAATATGACCAGTGTATCTTCTTCCATGATTGACCAATGAGGCAAATTCAAAGCAGCGGAGCCTCTGTTTCTGTTAAAAGCTACAAAACATGAGTGGTGGAGGGAGGGTAGGAGGGTGCAGAGGGGTGAAGGGAACTTGCACTAATAATACCAGAAAATGTCTTTCAAATCAGTCCTTGTCAGAATACAAGTGTCACTGCAGGTCCAGCCTAATAACAAGGGCAACCTCTTAAGCCCAAGCATGAAGGACAAACCTGCAGTGTAGAAACTCTCCCTCTGCTATTATTAGGCCCCATAAGGCGCTTAATGATTATTTGGCTGCTGGAGACATTGAATTCACTGTACAAAAATAAACACAAGAAAGTAGGCATTTTCTTTCCAAGTCTTTTTAGCAGCTTTAGCACAGACCATGGCCCAATCTGAAAAGCTTTGTATCGCGAGAGTGTTTTCTCTTTAAAAGCTTCCTAAAAATGGCCTGCCTCCACTGCCCCTCACCCCCCTCCAAACTCCCTGAAGACTGAACCCTTTTATTGACAGTGAAACTCATTTCTGGGTTTTTCTGGATTATCCAAATCATGTATAAAATGCATTGGTGCAGCATTCCTGCAGGACGTGGTGATGCACTTCTGCTTACTGGCAGAAATCTCTATTTGCGATTCTGGTTATGAATATCGTGCTTTAGACCCGCAACGTTGAAGATTAAAATAAAAATTCCTTGTGAACCACTCCGAGTCATTATCCTATGCTGTATAAATGCAAGTTGTTGTGGAATTGACGCTATATAAGTACAAGTAACTCTTGTTGTGGAGATATGTTAAAATTACTATCACAGTCAAAGAGTTTCAAATTTGTTCTCTCTAACCTCTGTTAATTTTCTTTAATTGTTTATGGCTAATAGACATTAAATTTAATGTTTTCACTTTGGGAATGTGTATCAAGTGAGTTTATCAATGTCATAATGTAAAAAAATTCACAAGATGGGTTTGGATAAAGAAGGCCCTTCAGCCAATTTGATCTCATCGCACCAGAACACTCATCCTCCCATCACAGGATCAAGCTTTTTTTTAAATAAGTCTAGTATCCTGGCATCAATCACCTTTCCTGGCAATCTGTTCCAGTCATTAATTATCCTCTGGTTAAAGAAAAACTTTCTAGATTTGAGTACTACTAAGGGTTAAAAAGACATGTTCTTGCTACATCCTTAGTGAATGGCTTTCACACTCTTACGAGTTCAATGATTCCTCCAAACTATTCCACATGGCGCTGTTTGAGCAAATATAATTAATGTAAAAAGAACAGAAAGGCAGAAAAAAAATCAAATGCAAGTTAACATTAATTATAGTTCTTTGGAACTCGTTTTTCCAAAGGGGGTAATCAAAGTGAGATTTCTTTGACATATTGCAATAATAAGGTTTACAAAAACAGTGTATTAAGCCGAATATTTCCCCCTCTCCCTTGTTTAACCTTCAAATGTCAGAGTGGCTCAGTTGCTGCTATGCTCGCCTCTCAGTAGGAAGATTGTGGGACGTTGGACTCATAGTCTAGGTTGACACTGAAATGCCTGGGGGTGTGCTGTACTGATGGAAGTGCCGTCCTTCGTATGAGATGTTACACTGAGGACCTGTGTCTCTGTTCGGGTGGATGTTAAAGATCCCATGGCACAACTTGAAAAGAGAAGCGAATTTCTCTCAGGATGTTGGTCAACAATTTTCCAGATAAAATTGGTCACTCACTCCATGGCTATTTTAAAGATACATAGAAATTTCCAGCAGTGAAAGAGGCCATTTGACCCATTGAGTCTGCATGGGCTCTCAGAGAAAGGCATTCATTCAATGTTACTGTCTTATACCAACACCCCTTCAAGTCTCTATCTTTTATACATCGGTCTACTTCCCTCTTGAAACCCACAATGGACTCTGCCGTCACCACCTTACTTGGCAGGGCATTTCACATCCCAACATCTAACTGTTTGTGGAACATTACTGCGAGCAAATTCGTTGCTGTGTTTGCCTACAAATACAAAGTTATTACGTTTTACAGTAAATCCTGTAAAGTGCTTTCTGAGATATTTCAACAACTTGATAAGGCAGTACATCAAATGCAAGGATTAACATTATTATTACAAACTCCCCCTCTTTCTCTATAGGTTTCCATTATTCCCACTGTAGTGACTGTGCTGCATTTAAAAGAAACTGAGTTCTTTGACATCTGGAGACCCCAAATTCCAAGCAAAGCCCATAAGCCTCTAAGAAAAAAATCTTAAATTCAGCCTTAACTGCAAAAATGCAATGCAATTTTTGACAATGCTTCCAAATTAAGATTGGAATTAAGAATTTTCTGCAATTTTGTGCAACCTCCAATGTTAAGATGAGGAAGAAATTTAGACCTCAGATGTACAGTCAGTCACATCCTGGGTGAAACTGTAACCAAATCCCCTTGAATGCGGGCGGAGGGTAAGTCACAATTAAAGTAGGGCAAGAGAGTTGAGATTGCTGTTTTATTTGGCAGCTTATTTACTGCAAACTGAGAGTGTGACAAATCCACCACATCTCAATCACACTCCGAGGTCTAACCCAGCCCAAGTGCATTTGCCCTACGTGCGTTTCTACTAGTTTTACGTTACTGCACGAGACAAGTTCTAGGAAATAAGTGTGATCTCCCCTGCTCCATCTGTCACAGTGGCTAAGAATGCACAGCTTGCAATTCTCTAGAGTTTTCCTGGTATTTCATTAACAAAATACATGGCTCCCTGTAGAAATGTTCTACTATTACTTGTCCTTTCCACCGTGCATCAATCTATCACCAACAGCTGTTCCTTAGGTCTTTTGGGATTATTCTTGTGGGATTACCAGCCTCAACAACAGGACATTAAACAAAACTCCACAGAGACACTGATGGATCATTTTTTTCCCTTGACGTTCCTTATTTTCCTCCTGCTGGCTCTTTGTCTTCATACTGGGAGACATTTAGTTGTTGTGTTTGCCTACAAATACATAGTCTACAGTACTGTAAACCCTACACTTTACAGTAAACCCTGCAAAGCACTTAGAGGCATTTCATTCAAGTGATAAAGAGCTACATCAAATGCAAGGATTACTATTGATATTATTAACCAGTGAGATGGGTTAACAACCCACGTGGAAAATTTGTCAGTTGTATTAACCGAAGTGCAAACTGCACGCAGATTACTTTGATTATACAATTAACAACCAACGTGAAAGATTACAGAGCCACCTGTTATTCCCTCTGTGTACCCGTGTGTTAGCACACAATTAATCCAGTTAAGGTAATAAATAAAAAAGATGACTTGCTTTCTTTGGGGATTAATCTACTCAAGGCAAAAAATTGCAACATTTTGTAAGTTTCACAAATTTTACCTTGTGTTTTTTTGCATTAATTATGAATTTTACTATTAATTATGAATTAATGTAATGCAATTTTATCTTATGAATAACACATTACAGTGTAAAATTAATTGAGGTAATGTTTATCAACCTGCTCTATAATTACTTGAACACATACAAGAACAAATGAACAGTTCGCTCTGAGACTGGTGCAGACTCAATATGCTGAATGGTCTCCTTCTGCGCTGTAAATTTCTGCGCTGTAAATCATTCTAAATTCAGAAAAATAATGAATGGAGCAGAACAGCCTTTGGCGCATGGCAAATGGCTCATAATAATAATAATATGGCAAGGAATTCAAGGAGACGATTAACGTCCATAATAAAATAATGTGCAGAGCAGCATAACTCCCTGAATAGAATAACCTGGATTATTGAGTTGGGACCTGATTCTAATCAACCTCAGCTCCCTTGAGTTGGCCCTTGATGCAGTTTTGTATGGGATATGTCCAGGAGGTGACTGGGACCCCTGTGGGTAGAAGCTATGGGAGTTGTTGGGAGATGCCGTCCTTTGGGTGAGAAGTTAAACTGAGGTCCCCTCAGTCCTGAGTCAACAGTCCTCGAGATGAATTGGTCATTCACCTCATGGACCCAGCTGGTGGAAAACAGTTGCTGCAAAATATCTGCTGCGCTTTGCCTACAAAATAGGCACTAAACTTGATATTAATGGCCTGTGATCTGATAAGGTGCTATAAAAACGCAAGCGTTTAATAAAATGAAAGATTGAGAGATATAATGAGAGAGAAAGGAGGCTTTCTGTTAAAAAATAAGATTTCTCTCATGAATTAAAAAAATTATAAGCAGTAATAATCCCTTCAAAATAAATAAATAATTTTGTCACTCAATCCACGATGGTTTGTGGGACACTACTCTGCACAATTGGCTGCTGCATTTCGCCCACAAAATATCCAGTCAATTAACTTTACAGTATATTCTGTGAAGAGCTTCGAGACTTCTCAATGACTTCTCAAATGCAAGGATTATTATTAGTATTATTATGATAAGAAGGCCAAAAATTAGAGACTTTGCTGCTCTCCTTAGTCAAGCTTTCAGCCATTCTGCCCCCACGCTCAGAAACGACATTCCCAACTCACAACAACAACTTAGATTTATACAGCGTCCTTCACGCTGGACGGCGTCTCAGAGTGCTTCACAGTAATGAATCCCGGGACTGAGCCAGGGGGAGGGGGAGGAGCCGGGGGGGGGGGGGGGGGGGAGGGAGGAAGGTGACCAAAGGTGCAGTCGAAAAGAAAGGTTTTAGCAGAGACTTGAAAATGGGAAGGGAGTGAGCGAGACGAAGGGAGTGAGGAAGGGAGTTCCAGAGCCTCGGGGCATAGTGGTTGAAGGCACAGCCACGGAGGGTGGAGCGGAGGACTCGGGTGACAAGGAGGAGGCCAGACCCCCAGACCCGGAGGAACGAAGGCAATGAGGAGAGAGGTCAGAGAGGTCTGGGGTTGCAGAGGAGTGCAGGGACTTGAATAAAAAGGGTGAGGATCTTGAAGTCGATCCTCTCTGGGATAGGCAGCTATCCCAATCTGGCAAGGACTGGGGTGATCGGGGAGCAGAGTTTCATGCAGACTTCAGAGTTTTGAATGATTTGGATTTTATGGATGGTAGTGGATGGGAGACCGGCGAGGTAGAGTAGTCCAGCCGAGAGGTGACAAACTCACTCCCTCTCCCCCACTTTCAATGCCTACCCCAAGACTCCAAGACGTTCCTCAGTTATATCTCCTAGCCTTTAACCATTCTTTGGTCATCTTTCACCCCCACCCTCTTCAGTTCCACATCTGCTCAGCTTGGATGCCCAGCCAGCTGTATTATGCACTTTGAGACGTCCTCTCATCATGAAAGGCGCTTAACAAATAATGTAATTTGGCTGATATCATTTGCAAGTCACGCCACCAGACCCGAGCTGGTCAGAGACTGCAGAGTCTGTGCTGTGTCTGTGCCCGGCACAAACTGTGCAAAACGTGATCTGCAGTCTGCAGGTCGCCACGGCAACAGGTAAATAATTTAACGCCATAGTCACCCTTTATCTAGTTTACAACTGGGAGAAACAGAAACAGACAGGAGGAATACAAATGAAAGGCAAAGCCAGTTTTACCATTCGGATATTGATTCACACACAAAAAAAACGCGAGGACAGAAAACAGACAGCAATTAAAAATCCAATTACTCCTACAATAATCAAGCCCAGCCCACTCCAGATTTCATTCTGTCATTATTTATCCAAATTAACAGCAATCTGCTGGCATCTGACGCCAGCATGGCTCCAACCAAACTGTTTTCGTACTTAACAGTTTTCCCTGATTTCTTTTTGTGACTGTTTGTTTGTCTCGAGTCTCAAGAGGCTGAATGTGGACGATGTTTGCTCAGCAATGCACATTCTGTGATGCTGTGAGATAACACCGAGGAACACCGAAAAACTGCTCTTGTAAGACACAAATATTGTCCTAATGCAGCTTGTCCCAATAATTCTACACTTATTTGGCTGTACAGCTACTTTACACTGTGACATGTTCTGATGTTCATTCCAATTCTCTGCAACCCAGCAGCCCCTCAAACACTCCGCAGCCTCTTGTACAAACCCAGCAGCCTCATCGATGCTCTGCAGCTTCCAATACAATCTCAGCAGCTCTCAGTGAAACTCTACACCCGGTGCTATCTTCTGTTTTTTATTCTGCCTTCCTCTCAACTTCTTTGTATAAATATTCACTTTACAGTGTGTTCTGTGAAGCGCTTTGGGACGTCCTCCCGACGTGAAAAGCGCTATATCAAATGCAAGGATTATTATTATTATTATTGCAATAAATACAGTTGCTCGACGGGTGCAGTGACTGAGCCCGAGAATGTTTGATCAGAGACAGCAGAGTGACTGTGTATTTTATAGACAAAGATGGCAGCTAATTTGCACCCAGCAAATAGCCATGTTTTGTTCTGCAGGATTGTTGGCCAGGACACAGGGAGCAACTCCCTTCTCTTTTCAAATAGAAATCTTTCACAACCACCTGAACTGGCAGACAGGGCCTCAGTTTAATGTCTCATCCTAACTTTGAGATATTTAGGCATGATGAGAAGTTCATAAAGTTCTTACGTCTTCTCGATTTGAACAAAGTGAGCAGGAGGTAGAAGCAGCCACTATTCCAGTGAATAAAAGAATTTTACTAAAACTTGTGGTGCAAGTAATAAAAGCAAGACTGAGTTCATCAACCCACCTACTGGTGGCACTGAGGAAATCGTATTGTAAAACTGTACAGAGCAGTTACTAAAACAATGGAAAGAGATCTTACCATGACAGACAAACTCTTTCTTCTGAACATTGGCAATGTAGTGTCCCCGCAAGTGGACCGGTCCTGTGCACTGGGCATACAGGCCAATTGGATGTCTCTGACGTAGCCAGTCAGAGAGCCAGGCCAGGTGGCAGTTACAGAACAGGCTGTTGGAGTGCAAACGTCTGTGGAAGGGAGAAGAGATGGGATAAAGAAAGTTAATGATCTGAAGTTGCGTATCACACACATACAGACATTAATTAACACCACAGATGCAATGGACAGGAACACATTGTGGAGCCTCACAACCACATGCATAAACTTATGCACATGTACATGAAAAATCTTGCACACACAGATACACATACGTTCACGCACGCACACAGAACCTAAAGTCCCCGTTCCTGCCAGCCAAGCGATGCAGATAAATTTAATCGTTTGACTTCCAAAAGGCATTTTAATTTCCTAGTCACTTGCAAATAATTTGTTTGTATTTAATTGCATTCCCTCACACAAAAAAAACGATTACAAGCTTTGATTTCTGTTAAGTCACAATTCGAATATTCCTGACTATATACAGCAATAAATCAGATGTCGCTCTGACTCCTTTTACACTACATTCAGCACAAGTGGAAATTGCTAGTTTTATAGCATTTGAGATACTGAAAAAAAATCTGCACTCCTGAGATGATGTGTTTGACATCAAGTCCTGGTTAAATCTATCTAATGTTTTCCTTAAAGCTTTCACCTGTGTTCTGAGTGACAAATGCTCTGCTGGTGATTTTCACCTTTCCATTTGCAGCCAAGAGCCTCTTACTTGGGAGTGGAAAGGAGGAGTGATGAGCAAGATTGAAGGCAGGCTGGGTGTTGCCATGCCAACTGATAAACAGACGCACTTCCTTTGTAAAAAAATACTATTTGTCACTAACCTCCACAGTCTCTCTCGTTCCTGTGATTCTTTCTCGCTTCACTTATTTATGCTACAGGCACGATTGATGTGCGTTTTTATAAAACAATTTGTATTTTACGGCCATGCTGCTGCAGACACTGACAATTTATTGGGTTTGTTACCTGGAGACGAATGTTGGAGAGAACATTTGTCTTATTTCAAATTGGTTTCATTCAGATCGTTTTACCTCAATCTGCCGAGCATCCTGCATCTCTCCCTCATCTCCATATACATTGCTGTAACTTATTCAGACACTCACCAATTGCTCAGTTTCTGAAGAGTGAGTTACATTTCGCAACCTTTTCGTTAAATTAAAACCAGCTACAAAATTTGATGCTTCTTTTGTTCCATCTTTCTATTGATTTGTTTTCACATAAATATTGCAATAAATACATCATTGCTAGACTGCATGGAATGGCTGAGCCCCGCAGTATGAGTGAGCTGAATTACCATCAGTACAGATATCGACTGAAGAAGCTGACTGGGTGATGTTACTGAGATCAGCAGTGCGAGGGAGCCGGACTAACATCTGTAGAGATGTAGTTAGAGGAACAGGGCACTAGCTGGATGGAGTTCCTGAGCCATACTTTGCAAGGGAACTGGGTTAACATCAGTAGTAAGTGCTTTGAGGTACTCGATAATGTAATAAGGCTCATCTTGAAAGCCCTCCATGGTCTTGCTCCTCCCTATCTTTGCAATTTATAAAAATCTCACCAATCTGTCCATTCTCTCTGCTCTGCAGGCACTGGTCTGCTCCACATCCCCGGCCCTGTCTGCTCCATTATTGGTGGTCAGGCCTTCAGCCTTTCTGCTCTAACCCTCTAGAATTCCATCCAGGAGCCCCTCTGCCTTGCCCCCTCCCTTGCCTCCTTCAAGGTTCGTCTCAAGACCTTCCTTTTCAATTGTGCCTTTGGTCATCTTTCCTCCTCCACCCCTCTCGCCCTCCACACCGCAGTTCGGGTGCAAACTCCTCCCGATGTAAAAGGCGCTATATAACGGCATTTGTTGGTATTTTTTCACATGCAAGATTTATTATTCTAATATCGTTGGCACTGACTGGATGGAGATATTGAGACCTACTATCAATCATTTGAATTGTGAATCCAGCTCCCCTATGCTGTCGGGATGTGTAATTTCTTCCAGTCAACACACTGCTTTTCCAGGTCCCTCACATTTTAGAGCTCAGGAAGTCCTCCAAGCAATGACACCACCACCAATCACAGTTCAAGCAAAATAATTCCAAGCATTGGACGGGATTGAAAAAGGACGTCTAATAATTATAATTATAATTATAAATAAAGATAATTAAAAGGAAAAGAGAAGCGAATTTCTCCTGGTGTCCTGGCCAACAATTCCCAAGATAAAATTGGTCATTCACTTCTTGGCTGTTTGTGGGACATTGCTGTTTGCAAATTGGCTGCTGCACATTTCTACAAATGCACAGTCACTACAATTTACAGTAAATCCTGAAAATGTTTTAAGACAGTTTGACGATGTGATAAGCCTCAGCTCAAATGTAAGGATTAATTTTAACATTGAGATGCTGCACATGTATATGGCCGAGACTCATTACTGAAGGCGTATGGTCATGACAATAATAATCCTTGCATTTGATATAGCAACTTATCACAGCTTCGAAATATCTGAAAGTGCTTCACAGAATATACTGTAAAGTGAATTGAATGTATATTTTGTGGGTGAAACGTGACAGCCAATTGCACACAACAGTTACCCATAAACGGTCATTTTAGTGACCAAAATATTATTATTTATTTGCATAGCTAAGTGTGAACATGGTTTGTGTACCTGGGATAGCGCAACTGACCTGTGTGTTAACCCGGCCTTGACTGCCTGCAAGGTGCACCAACACCAGGCGAAAGAGAGATGTTCTTGTTTGGTTGACTGGTTGGTTTAGATGTTGGCTGAAAGCCAGGATGAGTTGTTCAGGATGCAATCGTGAGCTTCCCCAGAGGACCAAATGTGTTGCTACAAATAGCGTATGTTATGTGCGGCAGTCCTCTAGTCATTGTGGTTAGACAATCGAATGACAATAATACTAATTGAAGATCAATACCTGCTAAAACGTCTACAATAACACCATTGCCAGAGGTTCCTGTCTGTTGGCTACAACCTGCTGAGACACACAAGCTGTGGTGGTTGTAATGCCCACAGCCAGATGAAAATGAGTAGAATGGCATTCTCAGATTCTTCCTTCCCTGGCCACTGTTTTTGAAGCAGGCCGTCAGTGACTGTCACCGTTTTGACTGTCAGTGCCGTTTTACTGGGATATTGATACTGACATCGAGGCTTGCCTATATAAACTCCTTGCTTGTTGGCCTCCCCAACTCCTCCCTCCATAGGCTGCAGATCATCCAGAACTCTGCAGGCCGTGTCCTCTCCTGCACCAGGCTCCGTATCCCTATCACCCCCATCCTCGCCCGACTCCACTGGCTTCCCATCACTCAGAGGATATAGTTCAAGATTCTGGTCCGCACCTTCAAAGCCCTCCATGGGCTTGCTCACCCCTACCTCTGCGATCCTAACCCATCCTGCCCGCTCCCTCCGCTCAGCAGGCTTCGGCCTGCTTCACGTCCCCCACCTCGCTCACCCACCATTGGCGGGTGGGCCTTCTGCCACTCTGCCCCACCCTCTGGAACTCCATCCCGCAGTCCCTCCGCCTCAACCCCTCCCTTGCCACTTTCAAGACCTTCCTCTTCGATCGTGTTTTCAATCTCCCTGCTACCCCCCTTGCCCTCCACCCTCCCCAATCCCCAACCCCCAGCTCGGGTCCGAAACAATGACTGTCCAGTGCCTTTGGACGTCCTCCTGACATGAAAGGCCCTATATTGTTGTTGATTCAGTTAAGATGTTAAACCTGTACAACCGCTTTGAAAGGCCACAATCTGACGCCTGAAAGCTCAACAATGGTCACAGGAACTAAATGGATTCACAGAGATTCATCCTTTTTTTTATGTGGAGCCTCAGCACTCAATACTCCCAGGTCCAGTGTGGTGAGGGATAGATAGAGTAAAGCTCTCTCTACTGGTGCTCCCAGGTCAGATACAGCAATTGTTAACTACACAGTACAGCGGTCTCTACACTGTACGATCAAGAATTTCCAATCTGTGAACAGTACAGGTTAGATTGCAACCTCAAAAGAGCAGTGCTATTTATGTCTGTGTGATCCTGCTCATACTCCACTCTGCTGATCACTCCCTCCATCAGCAAACACAGGCTTCTCTGCAACATCAGTGACCATGGCTTCAGCCACTATACCACTATCCTCTGGAACCCCCTGCCCCAATCGCTCTGCCTCACCCCTCTTTATCTTTAAATCTCACCTTAAAATCTACCTCTTCGATTGTGTCCATGATCACCTGCCCCTCCCATTTCTCCCATGCTTGGAATCCAACTGCAAAGCCGTTATATATAAATGGAAGTTGTTGTTGGTTTCCTACACCACAGTGGTGATTCTCTAAACTTGGGACCTTATCCCCTTTGGTAAATGGGAACCTTTATTGTAAGCTTCCAAGGCCAATGTCTTTAAATTTCACCACATTCAGAGGATCATCAATTTGATGTCCTCTCTGAAAGATAATTCACATAATAATAATAATAATAATAATCCTTGCATTTGATATAGCGCTTTTCACGTCGGGAGGATGTCCCAAAGCACTTCACAGAACACATTGTAAAGTGAATTGACTGTATATTTGTGGGGGCGAACGCGGCAGCCAATGACGCACAGAAATATAGAAATATACACTAGAAATTAGTTTACAATGTACCACCTTGCTCCACAATTGCAATCCCACTTGAAGGGGAGATGCAGTTATATATCAGGAAGGAATGCAGTATCAAGGTTAGCCCATTCCAGATAATACTTGCATTAAAATCACTGCCACAGTTAAGAATTAATTGCAATCTAGTGAGTGGTTTATTGCTTGCAGAATTAATTTGCAATGCATACTCTCCCATTAAATGTCTTGGCCAGCAATACGAAAAATAAAGATGATCCAATGTGGAAGATGAACTGAAAGCCCTTTCCAATATGTACAACAACAACTTGCATTTATACAGCGCCCTTCATGTCAGACGGTGTCACAGAGCACTTTACAGAGGCAGAGCTCAATGCTGAGCAAGCGGAGAGGGAAGGTGACCATAATGATAGGTGAAGGTCAAAAGAGGAAAATCTTTGAGCACAAAACAACCTGAAAATGCAGAGAGGAGGCAAGG